TTATATTAAATATTATTATATTAGATTTTAATGTCAAATCTTCCATAACATTAAAATAATTTAATTTATTTATATTAGAATCTACTATTTTTTAAACTTTCTGATCATAAGTGACATAAATGATATATATGAAGACTTACGAAACAATACAAAGCAAAATCATTCCTATTGTGACACTATCTGCTGATGATTTATAGCAATACGAACTTAATAGAAAATATGTCAATATATAATATATTTGAAATTGATGGCGAACTCTATCAAAAATCAAATATATATATATAAGTAAATGAAGTTATGACAGTGAAAACAACAAGAATTCGCCAGCGTGGCATTTATGGATATTTTTTCACAAATATCTTTTTTCTTCATTTTTGTGGAAAAAATTTTGCTTATACATTGCATCGATCGCTTAATCGCAGACTTCTTTAAGAAAAATACTGCAAAATTAGAAGTATTTGAATGTTCTTTAACATGTAAAAGTAATGTTAAGTTTAATAGTAAAATTTGCTAAAAGAAGGAACATTCAATCAATAGGTCAAAAAGTGGGGATAGACGGAATGTTCCTCATATTTTACAGTCATACAGTGTTCCTACCCTCGAAGAAATGACTTGCGCGAAGGATCAATACTTTAGTCTCAATCGAATTCTCATGCTCGCTATTGGTTTGTGGCCTTATGAACAATCCAAACTCGTTCGACTACAATTGACTTTGCATTACGGAATTTTGGGAAGTTTTATTGTATTTCAGGTAAATGAATGTATAGTATTTAATAGATCTTTTATAAGAAACGTTCTTATTTATTAATAACAATAATTCATTAATGATTAATAAGTTACCACATTGTTATTAATAGCAATATTTAAATCTAGCATATTTAAATTTATTTATAATTATACAATATAAAGTTATATATTTTTGTTATAATTATTATGACGTATGTATAGTTAGAATTTGTGCTTTGTGTTCAATGTATTATTATACGTAAGAAAAATAATTAATAATTAAAATCTTTCTATTTGGTGACAAAATAATATAATTTTTTTATACAAATAATTCAACAAAATCATTTTCCATAGTTTACAACATTTGTGACCTCAAAATATGATTTGCAATTAACTATTGAAATTCTATCTGTCTCGTTCTTCTTTAATCTTTTCTTGATACCATACCTCTCGTTCAACTTTAACATGGATGTTGTAAGCGATAAGAAATATTTATTATTTAAATAAATGCATGTTGAACTCTTTAGATTTCTTGAAATAAAATCTCACTCTAAAATTGTTAAAATACTGCCACTATTGAGAAAGAATGAAAAATTTGCACTCTAGAATAAGAATGGCTGATTTTCACTTTTTTATGGAGTAATATTTCTTTTCTTTAAAGTAAATTTTATTTTAAAAAAATTGGAAATCTGCCACTCTTATTCAAGAGTGCAAATTTTTCACTCTTTTTCTTTTAACAGTAATTTAACTCTTTTCGAGATTTTATTCCAAGACATTTAGAGAATATATTACATTTGTCTATCTTCCGCATAACAAGTAGCATAGAAAATCATTGACAGGTAAAACATTTATTAGAACTTCTCCAAGATACATACGATGAGTTAAGAGACGAAAATGAAATTGCCATTATAGAAAAGTATTGGAACATCGCAAAACGTTACACTGAAATGCTTACGCGTAAGACAATCTCTTAGTTTTCACTATTCAGGAAATATACAGATTTCATTTAAAAATTCAAGTAACATTTTTATTGAATAATCTATTTGCGATTGTACACAGTATTGTATTTCAAATTTCGTAATTATGAATGATAAGAGCAGATTTTTTTAAGTAATTAATTAATCGATTATATGGTACGTAATATATGGTGATATTACATGAAATCACATGTACACATTGCTTTGTCACCATCTGACATCTATGCAATATCTTCTCGTGTTTAACCATCCTTAAGCTCATATATTGTACATAAAGAACGTAAATGAAAAACATTTTATAGAAAATGTCAACCAATTAAATAATGTTCTCGAAATCAAAATACCTTTCTCTTTACAACATTTTTATCTATATTTAGTATACTCTAAGAAGTGCGTTTATATGCACAAAACTTGAAATAGTCATATATAGCTGTACATCAGGTGATATCGTAAACATATATATATTGAGGGAGATTAAAATAAAATAAATTAAAAATATATAATAGTATTTAAAAATATTAATTAATAATTTTTTATGATTGTTTTAAAAAAAAAATTCGTTTTTAGTGCTCTTTATCTTCACCGATATTTTGTTCATCTTTTCTCCATTTTTGCCATATATAATCGATACTATGTACTGTGGAAACAAATCTCAGCTGCAACCATCGTTAAAAATCGTCACAGAATATTTCATCGATCAAGAAACATATTTTTATTTAATTATACTACATGCAGATGTAGCATTCTTTATAGGATCACTTGCAATGCTAGCGACGGGAGCAATGCTTTTAACGTATATGCAACATGTCTGCGGAATGTTAAAAATTGCCAGGTAAGAAAATTAATGAATGTGATAATGATTATCAAAAGAATCCGACATTAATTATATTGTATGATAAATTAGGTCCTGATGAAATGAATTAGTTTTCACATATGATGTAGTTTATAATGTGGTGGACAAAATATTTCATAAATACAAAGCTAGAAAATGGATAATTTTTAAACTATGTGAACTATTACACAAATGTGCAAAATTTATGCTTACAGAGTACCTTTGATATATCATAAACTATCAAAAATCTAATATTGAGTTTTAAGTTTACAATATCTTTTGTTTATCACGTTATAAATTATATTACATGTAAAAATTCATTTTATCAGAAATTTTCCTAATTTTTCATAATACGAAGTTTTTTATATTGTAAATAATAAAATATTCGCTTTGTCGCATTCAATCAGTATGAAACTACATTGGATTTATATCAAAATTATTATATGTGTTAATTATATGTTTACTGCACGTTGACTTAGACGGGGTTCCCTTTTTAATTCGAAAACTACAGCAAATCACAGAATGGTATAAGATTTTTTTGTTCCTTATGATCCATTCTATGTTCCCCAATGCAATTCCTACTTATTTTTGAGACATCCTTTTATATATATATATATATATATATACAGGGTGTCTGGAAATAATCACCAAATATTATATAATGGGCAAGTAGAATGGAATTTCCTCAATAGTTAACGAGATATTAATCCTTAAAAATAGCTGAATACTACTGCGAAGTGTATACGCCTAC